AAGCCTCAAACCCTAAACCCTTAAACTCTTAAACCCAAAAAACCCTCAAACCCCTCAACCCCCTCAAGCCCTTGGGCCCTTGAGCCCGGTTCCTAAAACCCCAACCTCCCAACGCAAGAGGGGGCTTTGGGCTCTTGGGTATTTCAGGTTGAGGTTTGCTTCAGCGATTGGGATTTTGGATAATGGCGGTTTGAGGGTTTGGGGTCATGATGTCTAGGGTTTCGGGCTTAACATGCAACATAGCTCTATGCAACCCTTAACCCTACATAACCCCAAGCCCTCAGGTTTATCTGGACCTTCTTCCTGGCGTTCTTCTGGCTTGAGCTCTGGACCATCTTTGAATGGGGTGGCTGCCGCGCCCTGGCAGAGTCTCCATGGAGCTGTTTGGGGTTGAAGCCTCAATCCCTAAGCCTTGAGCCCGAAACCCTAAATCCACTTCGGCCACATCATCGAATCCCCCTGGCCCCCAAGATTTCCTATAGTCCCTCAGTCCTGCACACTGTGGGGGCAACAGGGTTAGGGTTTAGGCACCCCTAAACCCTAAACCCTATCCCGAAAACATCCCAGGAGAGTACAATCAGCGGATGGCCACGAGGGACTGCATGTCCCCGGACTTCCTGTATCCCGTTTGGGGCAAGGCCTCCTTGGCGTGGCCGGGGGGGGGGGGTTAGGGCTTGGGCTTTAGGGTTTGAGGGCTTGGGGTCCTTTTGCTTACGAACTTCACACCTAAACCCTAAACCCTAAAGACACTCTAAACGACTAGAACAGAAAGTGCCGTTACAAGAGGCTTCGGGCTTACGTACCTTTTCTTGAGAGTAAAAACTCCTATTTTTCGACGAGGAAGTTGCATCAGCTAAATGAGATCAACCCTCTCTATCGGCTGCTGCCCAGGGGAGGGTTTTGGTCCCTGGGGTGAATTTAGGTTTTTGGACTGTTGTTGTTGTTGTTGTTGTTGGATGTGCTGCAGTTTTTTTTTGTTGGCCGTCTCATGGGCTTATCATGGCTCATAGCCCCCGATTTTTTCAACCTCCCCCCCTCACCCTAAGGCCAAACATGCGAATGCGAAAAGCAAAAAAAAACCAAGCCAAACTCCAACGCCTCCCACAACTAAAGCTTAAACTCTGAAACCTAAACCCTAAACCCTAAACCCTAAACCCTAAACCCTAAACCCTAAGCCCTAAACCCTAAACCCTAAACAGCTGCCCTGAGCTCTGCATCCCGCAACCTCTGTCTTAAGACAGGTCTTCGGAGCAGTGCCCGCCTTTGCGCAGGGAGTTGCATTCGAGCATCTCGACTGGTTTAGGGTTTACAGGATTCAGGGTTTAGGGTTTAGGGCTAGGGTTTAGGGTTTAGGGTTTAGGGTTTAGGGTTTAGGGTTTAGGGCTAGGGTTTAGGGTTTAGGGTTTAGGGTGTAGGGTGTAGGGTTTAGGGTTTTGGCTTAGGCGTGACACGCGCTCGAGGAGGCCCAGTGGTATCTTCAGGGTGCTGATCAAAGGGATTGAGGCGACCTGGTTTAGGGTTTTGGGTTTAGGGTTTTGGGTTTAGGGTTTTGGGTTTTGAAGAGGATGATCGAAGTGGCATGCCTGGGCAGCCTGACCTAGAAGCCTTGTTGTCTCGGGGGCGAATGTTCACTAGTAATTTCGAAATTCCTAGTGGTAGCAGGTCATGCACGTCGGCCCCGGATTGGGGAAGGGATTCCACGACAACAAGCCAAGTTGATCCGCCAATTCTTGTTGATTTCTCCATGCCTAGTCAATCCCTAGGCCTTCTCTTGTTGAAGGTCCTTTGCTTAGTGGTGGTATTCGAGCCATTTGCCACTCTAGTCGCCACTCCACCCAAATGAGCAGTGCGCGTCCTGGATTTCAGCCATATTCAGGCAGCTCGGTTTCATGACTGAGCTTTCATAAGCCCTGCTGAAACCTATAAAACTCCCAACCACACGCACGCGCACATGCACACATGCACACATGCACAGGCACATGCACAAGCACACGCGCACACAACCACCCACCCACACCCACCCAACCACACACACGCACACAAGAAGGGGAAAAAAGAATAGAGATGAAATACTGAAAGCCTTTAACCCACTAAGCCCCAAATTCTTTTCAGCTCTCGTCGATCGAGGATGGTCTCCGGACTGTCGAAGTTGCGGGGGGCCCTAGCCACGCAGGCAGAATCCGGGTACAGGGTCAGAATTGTCGGGGTTGGGTTTCAACATCAGGAGTTGTGAGGTCCAGGGTATAGGGTGCACCTGTGAACCCGGAAACCCGAAACCCCTAAACCCTAAACCCTAAACCCTAAACCCTAAACCCTAAACCCTAAACCCTAAACCCTAAACCCTAAACCCTAAACCCCAAACCCTAGACCCACTCAAAGCCCCAGGGCCCAAACCGGAAAGCCCCAACAAGGGATCTCCCGAGGCCTTCGATCTCAGAATCGTCCGAATACCGCGAGAGATCAGGAAGAGGAAGATCCCATCAGACTCCTGTAGGGTTTGGGGTTTAGGGTTTAGGGTTTAGGGTTTAGGGTTTAGGGTTTAGGGTTTAGGGTTTAGGGTTTAGGGTTAGTTCACCCCAAGGAGCCCCAACCATTCTAAACCCGGAAGAAAACCAGACCCCAAAACTCTATACACCCTACCACCTGAACGACCCCTCCAAAAAAAGCATACTCGACGCCCCAAAGCAGGCCTCTGAACTCAACCCCGCACCCGTCCTCGTCACCTCCCCCAAGGAGTGTGGATTTCTTGGTGCCTTGGCATGCAGTCTTAGAGCCCGAAACTGCAAAAGACTGCGGGTTTGGAGGTAAAGGGTGCCTCTTTTGGCGGGGGCATGCGAAAGGCGGGAGGGCTTCCGAAGTCTCAAGTCTGGCAGAGACCGCAGAAGCCCAAATTCCAGATCCTTCCACCCCCCCCCCCTCCCGGAGAGGTGTCCATGCAGACGTGGGACTCGAACGAAGAGGCCTGGTCTTAGAGGGTAGACTTGGCAACTGCGTTTGAAAATGGATGGATGGCCAGGGGGGGGAGGTTTTTTTCGGTACCCCTAAACCCTAAACCCTAAACCCTAAACCCTCAACCCTCAACCCTCAACCCTCAACCCTCAACCCTAAACCCTAAACCCTAAACCCTAAACCCTACCCCCCCAAACTGCCGGAAGATACGACAAAGGGGGAGGGGGGAGGCTACGCCCTTCCTTCACCACCCAATCTACCCGCCTCAGATGCGTTTCGCTGCGGTGCGGTACTACTTCCTGCTGGAAGTCCGGCTCTAAGAACCCTAAACCCTAAACCCTATCCCCTAAACCCTAAACCCTAAACCCTAAACCCTAAACCCTGAACCCTGCACCCTGAACCCTAAACCCTAAACCCTAGACCCTAGACCCCAGACCCTAGACGCTAAACCCTAAACCCTAAACCCTAAACCCTAAACCCTAAACCCTAAACCCTAAACCCTAAACCCTAGCCTACATGATCTAGGAGGTGCTCTCCTTGACATGCTTTTCGGTGCTCAGGTCTCATTATCTTGTGGCTTCAGAACTTCAGAGCATCCATCACCCCACGCTGCAACCCAGGGTTTATTTCGGGTTTAGGGTTTAGGGTTTAGGGTTTAGGGTTTAGGGTTTAGGGTTTAGGGTTGGGGTTTAGGTTTTAGGGTTTAGGTAATAACCCATAAAGCCCCTGAACCCTGAACCGTAAATCCCTAAGCAAAAGGTTAGCCTAGGCTTCCATCCCAAGTCCATGAACCCGAGGTATCCATGCCCTTCTATACCCCTAAGGCCGGTTTGGGGCTTTTAGGGTCTCAAGGGCTTCGGATCCTACTGCACCTCCTTGTGGGTGAAGGTCCAAGTATCCGAAACTATCCCTAAGCCCTCAATCCCATGCCCGCTAGCAGCTTCATGGCTCCGGGGCAGGTGCGGAGACCCGCAAAAACACCTCCACCCCAAGTGGGCCATACCCTTACACACAGTCCAACATACGATGGTTCTTCCCTCCGAGCTGTTGCAAAAGTCTTTTCAAGTTATCTAAACCCTAAACCGTAAACCCTAAACCCTATATATACCCTAAACCCTAAACCCTAAACCCCCGACAGCCACTGCGACGCCGAAGCATAGTTGGAAGAGCCATGGCTCGGGAAGTGCAGCTGACCAGCTGCCAGCGATGGCGCCACGCTCAGACGCAGCTAGCGGTTGCAACGCGCGGGTTACCCTAGAACCCTAGGCCCCTAAGCCCTAAACCCTAAACCCTAAACCCTAAACCCTAAACCCTAAACCCTAAACCCTAATCCTACGCCCTACCTAAGCCCTAAACGCTAGGGTTTAGAGTTTAGGGTTTAGGGTTTTTCTTGTTCGCTTTTGGCCCACGAAAACGTTTGCCTGCTTGAGGGGGAGGGGGGGGGGAAGGGTCACAGCGTTTGCCAACGAGTTCTTGCCAGCATCTGTATGCCACCAGGTTCATTCCTACAAGGGTTCAAAAGGGTTTAGAGTTGTCAGAGGATTGAGAGGGGTTATGAGTACCAAAGAGTCGACAATCTATAGGGTTTAGGGTCGCCGGGTGTAGGTAGGTTTGACGTGTTTGGTGTTAAGGGTGTAGCAGAGTGGCTCAGTGATCTGACAACTTCTCCTTGGTGCCTCAAAGCAACAGCAAGGCACAAGTTAGCACCTGAAGCTTGTTCATATCATTATCTCCGACCCGACCGAGCCTTTCCGAGGCCATCAAAAAACCTCCCCCCTCCCTCCCCCCCAACAAACCTACAAGCAACACCTTGAAAACCAATCTTTTCTTCCAAAACACAGTTGGAAGTTAAACCTGCAGGGTAGATCCGATACCCTTTTCCCGACCCAACTGACCCTTAAGCCGTGGGGGACATGCATGGGGTTTAGGGTTTAGGCTTAGGGTTTAGGGTTTAGGGTTTAGGGTTTAGGGTTTAGGGTTTAGGGTTTAGGGTTTAGGGTTTAGGGTTTAGGGTTTAGGGTTTAGGGTTTAGGACATGCATGGGGTTTGAGGTTCGCGTCAAGTTGGTCCTTGACCTCTCCTATCTTGGGACGCGCTTTGTGGGCTGGCAGGCAGCCGCCTCACCTAAGAGTTGATGCACGTCGCCTTGAACACTGAGCCCCTAAACCTGACTTGTACGTAGTGCGCGTTCAAAATAATATACCATAATATACTACTCGGATTGTTTGGATGAGTTCAGATTTCTGGCTGTGTTCCAAAACCATGGCCCAGAAATCCCCCCCCCCCCCCCCCCCACAACCCCTGGTTCAGACCCATGAAAGCCTCCAAGACCAAAAACGGCAAACCCTTAAAAACTGTAAATCCGAAACCCTGAGCCCTAAACCCGAAACCCTAAACCCTAAACCCTAAACCCTCAACCCTCAACCCTCAACCCTAAACCCAAACCCTTAATCGAAATTCCGGCTGAAGATGCCGCGTCTTTGGGGGAGAGGCGCAGCCGCCAGCCCCGCCAGAGGCCAGTGGGCAGCCCGGCCCGCGTCGGCCTAAGATCTTATATGGGCTATTATACTCTATAACCCCTTTAAAAGGCCCTTTGTAGTATTATACCCTATAACCCCTGTATAGTATTATGCCCTATAGCCCCTCTAAAAGGACCTTTATGGTATTATGCCCTATAGCCCCTTTAAAAGGCCCTTTATGGTATTATGCCCTATAGCCCCTTTGAAAGGCCCTTTGTAGCATTATACCCTATAGCCCCTTTAAAAGGCCCTTTATAGTATTATACCCTGTAACCCCTTTAAAAGGCCCTTAATAGTATTATACCCTATAGCCCCTTTAGAAGGCCCTTTATAGTATTATACCCTATGACCCCTTTAGAAGGCCCTTTATAGCGTTATACCCTATAACCCCTTTAAAAGGCCCTTTATAGTATTATACCCTTTTTCCCCTTTTGAAAGGCCCTTTAGGGTTGGTTTGGGGGGAGTCTAAGGTCTACTAGCCCATGCTGGAGTCTCCACCTAGCTCGAAGGGTATTGGGTTTAGGGGGTTTAGGGTTTGGGGTTTCTGGCTCGGGTCAGGATTTTTGGGTTTGGGGTTTAGGGTTCAGGTGCTACGGTTTGAGGGTGCATAAGGGTTTTTTCGTTTTCGGACATGCATTTTTGGACATGCATTTCGGGGACAGTACAGGGGGCGAAAAAAGCGCTGAACCACGCCTGGAGAAAGCGAAAAAAGCCCAAATCGTGAACGGGGTCTAAAGGGAACCATTTCGGGGTGTAAAAAGCAACCCTGCCCACCCTTAAGCCCTGAAATTAAAAACAGAGGCCATGGGTTTGCTTGTGTGTGGGCGCATGTTTTCTCAGGTGCCGGCTCTTCAACAAAGGCCGCTGCCGTAAGGGCGACGCCTGCGGATCGGCCTCTTGGCCGAGACCCTGCAGGGTTTAGGGGGTTTTAGGGTTTTAGGGTTTTAGGGTTTTAGGCTTTTAGGGTTTTAGGGGTTTTGGGGTTTTTAGGGGTTTTAGGGGTTTTAGGGTTTTAGGATTTTAGGGTTTTTGGGTTTATGGGTTTTTGGGTTTTTGGGTTTTTGGGTTTTTGGGTTTTTAGTTTTTTTAGGGTTTTAGGGTTTTAGGGTTTTAGGGTTTTTAGGGTTTTAGGGTTTTAGGGTTCTAGGGTTCTAGGGTTTTAGGGTTCTAGGGTTCTAGGGTTTTAGGGTTTTAGGGTTTTAGGGTTCTAGGGTTCTAGGGTTTTAGGGACCCCGAACCTTGAAACCCTGAACCCGAAACCCTAAACCCCTGAACCCGAAACCCCCTTATCATGATTCTTCCTATTGCTGCAGCTCAGCGCATAAAGTCTCAGACCTGCAAGTCGCTTCAGAACCCTGAACTCTCCGACCCCCCACGCCCTGCATCAATAAACCCTAAATACCTAAACCCTTATACCCTTAGACCCTAAACCCTAAACCCTAAACCCTAAATAAACCCTAAACCCTTCATCCCCAAGAGGCGAAGCCACCGACAAGCCTCCTCTTGGCCCTTCTTCGTGGCATATGTTGAGTCAGATCACAAGTCTGAACCATCTGCTCTTTGAACCGCAATGACCAGCGCAGTTGCTTATAAATCTCCATATTACCCTTGGAAGCAAGAATATGTTCTCGATTTTTTTGGGGGGCAGTTCTTAAGCAAATGGCAGAAGAGATTTTGATGTGTTGGGTTTGAGGATTTCATTGTTATAGTGGGTTGGGGTCTTAGGGTTGCAGGCTTTTTGAGGAGTAGGGGATCTGGGCTTCGGGGTTTAGGGTGCAGGGTTTGGGGCTTGAGGGTGGGGATTTCAGGGTGTATGGGTTTCAAGGGCTTTAGGGCATCTGCAGGGTCTTGACGTCCGTAGACTGCAGAAGGCACACATCTGCTCCGCTTGCTGGAGGCCCCCGATGGCACCGAGGTTTTAGGCTTTAGGGTTCAGGGTTTAGGGTTCAGGGTTCAGGGTTTAGGGTTTAGGGTTTAGGGATCAGGGCTTCGAAGCCCTCAGCCCTTAACCCTTTACCCTAAACCCTAATTACCCCTTATTTCCCCAATTACCCTACTTACCCGAAACCCTATGGGGCTTGAAGGTCTTCAACTGCAGGGATCCTTGGTTGGAAAGGTCCATGATTTGCATTGATCGTCTTCATAGTTAGGTTTAGGGTTTAGGGTTTAGGGTTTAGGGTTTAGGGTTTAGGGTTTAGGGTTCAGGGTTCAGGGTTCAGGGTTCAGGGTGTAGGGTTTATAGCTTCGGGTTTGTTTAGGGCTTCTAAGATTTGGGTAGTATACACGCCTGAAACTGGCAAGCCGGCATCAGAACATCTCATGGTGGCGCCTCTCTCCGCCTTCAGGCGCCCCAACCCATGGATGCTCCTGAATTCAAACTCCTAAACCCTCAACCCTAAACCCCAAACCCTAAACCCTCAACCCAAACAGCCAGGCGCGGCCTGCGCCAAGCCCACGCGCTCAGTGACGCTTGCTGCCCTGAGCCGGAGGATGTTTCGGTGCAGGAGCACTCCCCAAAACCCTAAACCCTAAACCCTATACCCTAAACCCTAAACAAAGCATGTGAAGGTTTAGGGTTTAGGAGCATTGAAAGTAAACAGTCCAGCTAGGGTACAGGGAGTTCATCGCCAGGGTTTGGGATTAATGGGCTAGTTTCAATCCTTAAGCCCTAACCCTAAGAATTGGAGACCCCAAGCCCGAAAACCCTAGCTGGAACCCCACACCCCAAAACCCAAACGAAACACCCTGCCACCCTAAACCCGAAAACCCTTGTACCCTAAAGCCCCGCAACCCTCAGCCGTGCAGGAGGTGGTGGACTCAGCCCTCCGGAAAACGGCGAAGGAGCTTCAATGGCCGCTGACCTGCCCCCCCGGCGGAGTGGTGGCCAGTGGCAGGCCTTGGTTCCTTTCTCTCTCTCTCTCTCTGTTTATCTCTCTCTCTCTCTCTCTTTCTCTCTCTCTTTCTCTCTCTCTTTCTCTCTCTCTTTCTCTCTCTCTTTCTCTCTCTCTTTCTCTCTCTCTTTCTCTCTCTCTCTTTCTCTCTGTCTTTTTCTCTCTCTCTTTCTCTCTCTCTCTCTCTTTTTGTTATGAGGATTTGGGTTCAGGGTTTAGGGGTTTTAGGGAGTTTACGGGTGTTTAGGGGGGTTTACAGGGGGTTAAGGGCTAGGGAGGTGTAAGGGTGTGAGGGGTGGTGGCGTTTTTCTTTGGAAGGCTACGGGCCGAGCATCCCGACGCCCAACAACCCCCTGCTTCATGAATTCCCTGCACACTGGAATGTTCAGGGTTTAGGGCTTAGGTATTAGGGCTTGGGGTTTAGGTTTGAGGGATGAGGGTCAGGGTTTATCGGGCGCCCCTAAACCCTAATCCCATCTAGGGCCTCAGATTTTTTGGTGAGGTTGGAATAGGCGTAGGCTCGCTACGCACAAAGAGGACTGACCGCGGGGTTCACGCATACCAGATGCTGGCCTTCAGCAACTGTCACACGTCAGGCTCGCGGCGCTTCTTGTAACCCTAAACCCTAAACCCTAAACCCTAAACCCTAAACCCTAAACCCTAAACCCTAAAACCCTAAAACCCTAAAACCCTAAAACCCTAAAACCCTAAACCCTAAACCCTAAACCCTGAACCCTGAACCCTAAACCCTAAACCCTAAACCCTAAACCCTAAACCCTAAACCCTAAACCCTAAACCCTAAGCCCTAAGCCCTAAGCCCTAAGCCCTAAGCCCTAAGCCCTAAACCCTAAACCCTAAACCCTAAACCCAAACCCTAAACCCTAAACCCTAAACCCTACACTCCAGGGGCCAAGGGCCCATAAGCCTTTGTGTGAATGACAGGGATATAGCAGTACAGGGTAGATGACCTCCAGCTGTGGGATCCCCCTAAACTCCGAAGCTTTTAAACCCCAAACCGCAAACCCCACAATTTCTAGACTCTAAACCCTAAACCCTGAACCCTAAGCCCTGAACCCTGAACCCTGTAAAACCTAAACCCTGAACCCTGAACCCTATAAAACCTAAACCCCAGTTTCTGAACTCTCAACCTCGTAATTAACGCGCAAGCCCACTACTGTACCTCAATTGAGCGCGCTGCACGGCATGCCGATCTCATGGAGAATCTGGGACTTCTGCTTACCCTAAACCCTAAACTCTAAACCCTATTTTTGGGCTGGCATTGTGGGGATTCCTCTTGCGCCCTGGATGCTAGGGTTTCTGGGCGCTTCGGAATGATACCAGGAGCTGCTAGGCTAATCTAGGGCTCGGAATAAAGGGTTTAGGGTTTAGGGTTTCCCTCAGGGTCCCTCTACTAGTAAAAGCCCCCCCACAATTCTATTCTAGTCATTAAGGCCCCTAGATTGCGGGTTTCGGGATAGAAGGTTCTCTGGGTTTTCGGGGTTTAGGGGTTTAGGGGTTTAGGGGTTTAGGGGTTTAGGGGTTTAGGGGTTTAGGGGTTTAGGGGTTTAGGGGTTTAGGGGTTTAGGGGTTTAGGGTTTAGGGTTTAGGGTGGTCCTGAGAGGCAGCCCCAGCGACGCCATGCTTCGTGATTTTCCGGCGGCCTTGAACGCACCTGCATCGCACGAGGCCCCTAAACCCTGAACCCTGAACCCTGAACCCTAAACCCTAAACCTTAAACCCTAAACCCTAAACCCTAAACCCTAAACCCTAAACCCTAAACCCTAAACCCTACACCCCGCCCAACCTTATACCTTGAACTCGCTACCCATGGTCAGTGATGCTGGAAGTTTTGGGTGTCGGGATGCTTTAGACCCGAAACCCTAAAGCCAAACCCTAAACCTTATAAACCCCAAACCCTAAACCCTAAACCCTGAAAGAGTGCGGAGAATTGAGCAGCAAGGACAATCTGCCACCAGATGTGCGATGCAATTCAGCCTGGTGGACTTTGGACCTTAGCTCCTTCAATGACGTTTTTTAAGCTTGGGGTTTAGGGTTTAGGGTTTAGGGTTTAGGGTTTAGGGTTGAGGGTTTAGGGTTGAGGGTTGAGCTGAGTGCCAAGTAGGGCTTCTGGTTTTATTCCGGTGCGGGGTGAGATGCACAGTAGGACCCTCCATCTAAGGCTTCTCTGGGCTTTGCAGAGGTTTCTCGAAGCCCAATCCCCATCTCCACTTCGCATTCGTCCCATCGGATCAGGCCAACCTCCTCCTGGCCCTGGCTGTAGGGTTTAGGGTTTAGGGTTTAGGGTTTAGGGTTTAGGGTTTAGGGTTTAGGGTTTAGGGTTACTTCACTCATAAAGAATGAGTCATTATGTGATACGTGAGGTCGCAACAGGTAGGTCATTCATGTCTCGGCTCTTCAGCACAGTGCCACCAGGGCACAAGCTCTTGCAGAACCCGAAGCCCTAAACCCCTAAGCCCTTGACCGTACATAGTATAGGGGTGGGAGTAAACACACTAATCTGACAGCATTCCCCTCTGGTCCCTACATAACTATAGACTAGAATGGCCCCCCGCAAACCCGCTAAAGCCCCTTAATCATGCAGCAAGTCTCACTGAGAGCCAGGTTTTTGCACTAAGGGCCTTTAGGGCCTGGGGTTTCTGAGGTGTTTAGTAAATTAGGGCTGAGGGCCCGAAGCCCTGAACCCTAATCCCTAAGTCCTATAACGCTGAACCAAGACTCTGGGCCCAGCGCCAGGCCAAACCCCATCCTAAGTCCTAAGCCCTACATCCTTACCCAAACCTAAACCTAAAGTCTCAGGCCCTACTGAAGCCAGCGCGCCCTTGGCTTGGAGGCGTATACGCGATTAACTTGGTGGCCAAACCCCAAACCCCAGACCACGGACAAACCCCAAACTCCAAACCCCCAACCCAAAACTCCAAACCCCAAGCCCCAACCCCTCACCTCTCCTCACCACTTTGCGTAACCTAAGGCTTCTGCACGCGCGGCACGGCGGTGAAGACCTACACCTACTATGTGGCTCAAATGAGCCCAGGCCGGTTTTGCTCAGGGTTGAAACCCTAAACCCTAAACCCTAAACCCTAAACCCTAAACCCTAAGGGTTTAAGGGTTTAAGGGTTCCTAGGGTTTGAGGGGTTTGGGGCTTTTAGGGTTTAGCGCTAACCGGGGTTTCGGGGTTAGGGTTTGGGAGGAGGAGGAGGGGTGTAGGGTTTACGCAGTTTTTTTTCATGTTGTGGGACTTGCAGGGTGAAGGCGATTTGGTGGGTGAAAGGTTCATAGGGTTTAGGGGTTCAGGCTTTAAAGCCATGAACTCCAGAGTCCTACCGTGGCCTCGGGAACATAAACTTCACTGAACCCCTACAAGGCAATGCCGGTAGTTTAGGAATCGAGCCGTGCAGCTCTCCCACAGCAGGATGAGCCCAATCACCATACGGCGTTCTCTCGGGTCAGGTCAGCTAGCACAGGTCCCAGAACGGTTTAAAGTCTAGGGTCTGGGCTTTCTCCTCCTGACATTTGTACAAAGCGTCACCATTTTGGGGCTTCGCTGTCGCTGGAATTCTCTTCCCAAGCCTGCTACGACGACGCATGTCCAGAGCCACACTCAGTCCCCGTGCCTTGCAAACTCGGGTGCTGCAAGAAGACTTCAGGTCAGGGGCTTGCTAAAATGCTTCGGGTGACCCTGGCCTCTTGCAGCCTAGATTGTAAAGCCCATCGATATAGACAGTATTTAAAAATTAAGAAATAAGCACATATATATATATATATACGTATATACATAGAGAGAGAGAGAGAGAGCGAGCGAGAGAGCGAGAGAGAGAGAGAGAGAGAGATACTCTTCGTCATTCAGGCGCCGAGATCCCTCCAAGTGCGGCAGCCGTGCTGCAGCAGGTGGCCATTTCCTGAGGCATACTCGTGGTAGTTCTCCAATTAAGGGTTTAGGGTTTAGGGTTTAGGCTTTAGGGTTTAGGCTTTAGGGTTTAGGGTTTAGGGTTTAGGGAGCGAGCCCGGTCGTAAGGTCGGGTATATATAAACAGAACAACAAAGGAGTGTGAACGCAAAGAACTGCCACCCGTAGGCAGACCTCTCATGCAAGTTTGGTCTGCAGCCTCGTCGCCGCCTCAAGCCCAACAGGGTTTAAAGTTTAGGGTTTAGGGCCACCGTTTAGGGTTTAGGGTTCAGGGTTTAGGGTTTAGGGTTTAGGGTGGTGTAAGGAGTAAGCCCTACACTTCTGCTCCTCTCCAGGCCACGTGGCTGCTCTCCCCGGAGACACCATGCCTGCATCAGGCCGGACTGCAACAAGGTTGAGTAAACCCTAAACCCTAAACCCTAAACCCTAAACCCTAAACCCTAAACCCTAAACCCTAAACCCTAAACCCTAAACCCTAAACCCTAAACCCTAAACCCTAAACCCTAAACCCTAAACCCTGACCTAAACCCTTAAATCCCTAGACCGACCCTAAACGCGGAAGGCGCCCATGGCTGCCGCTGCTGAGCATCTCCTGGGCAGGCACGACTTTGCCGCGCTGTCGTCGGCCGGGGCAGGGGAGGCCGGGCCTGTGAGGAAGTCGGTATTCGGGCTTCTTCGCTTTTGGTTTGTGTTTGGGGTTTAGGGTTTAGAAGGCAGGTTTTCGGGTTGTAGGGTTTAGGGGGCATTAGGGTTTGGGGTTGGGGGGTCTCCGGCTTATTGGGGTTGAGGGATTGGGATTCCGAGCTGGGTTGGGGGCTCTGAAATCACAACCTTTGAGCCCTAAACCTTATAACTCGCAACAAGTTGAGACCCTTTACAGCCTCCTCTCTCCCCTCCTAAACCTTAAAAAACCGTAAACCCATGCCATAAACCCTGAACCCTAAGTTATCAACTTTCTTGACTTTGGCTTTGACACGCTGTGTTAGAACACACGTTGCGAAGCGAAGGACAGGCTATGCAGCCCGGCGAATGACTTTCCCCCACAGGGCGGTGTAAGGATCCTAAACCCCCCCCCCCCCCCCCTAAACCCTAAATCCAAAACCCTAAGCCCTCAACCCTAAAACCTAGACCCTGAACCCACAGGATTTCGTTTGGGGCTTGGGATGTATGGGCTCGCGGAGTTTGGGACTTCGGCCTTTGGGTGTTCCCGAATGTGTAGGGGTTAGGGTCCCCCGCCTAAACTAGTTGCTGGGTTTAGGGTTTAGGGGGCTATTGGGTCTCAGCTCTCAGCAACCGCCTCTCACTGCCTAGCACCCCTACGTCCAACTTGTGAAACACAGGGTTTGGGGAGTTTTGGAGTTGTCGGGTTTGTGGTTTCGTGTTGGGGAAAAACACTCCCATATTATGAGACGGAGTGTTATCTATAGGGTACCCGTGCAAGAAGTGCCCCTAGTGTGCAGAATCCCCTGTATGGACACGAATGTTGGAGGGGGGGGGTGGAAATTGCTCCCAAAGTAGCGACGAGGAAAATGCACTGACTTTAGTATTAGCAGGGTCTATTATCACAAGTTTCTTTTTTTCTGCGAACCGAGTTTGTTGGTGTAACCCGCTATTATCACAAGTTTATTTTCTGGACGGTTGTGTTTTTTGTTTTAAGGGTTTGTGTTGAGGGTTAAGGGCTCACGCAGTAAGGCTTGAGGCCCTGAGGGCCTTAGGCTCCAGGAATCTTAATGGCTGGAAAGCTTCAGGCCTTAAGGTTTCCAAAGGCTTGAGGCCCTGAGGGCGGTCCCCCCCCCCCCCCCCCCCCCCCAATTTTTTTGGGGGAGTCGCCGCGCCACGCGTGAAGAGAGGGTCCAAATTTGTTGGGGGGGGGGGGGGGGGGGCTACCTATTTACCTATTTAAGCCAGTGCAACATTACCTTAAATAACCCTATGCCCTAAACCCTGAACCCTTTCAACCCTACACCCTATAAACCCTAAACCCCACACCCTATAAACCCTAACCCTCAACCCTCTCCAACCAGGGCAAAACGACGCGTGAAGTGATCTCCCTGGATGTGGGAGCTGCTACGCACGTCCAGAGATTCGGCTTGCTTAGGGTTTGGTTCTTCTTAGGGTTTAGGGCTGAGGATTTGGGGTTTAGGGGTTCAGGTTTAGGGTTCAAGGGTTTAGGGTTTCAGGGTTTTGGGGAGGGGGGGGGGGGGGGGGGAATTGGGCGTCCCTGGTTTGGCACAAGCTATAGGGTTGATGGCGCTGCAGTTTGCGTTTTCAATGTGCAGGGGTCTGGAACTTTCCTGCCAAGTTGCATCTGCCCTCCCCTTATGTAGCCTCCCGCAACTAAAGGAATGACTCAGGAGGTAAGCTTATATGCTCGAACATGTTAAGGTTCGACGGAGGGGGGGGGGGGGGGGATTGCTAAGCTTAGGAGGATCAAACCGTCGCTGTCATATAAATAAATAAGTAAATAAAGAAATAAATAAACAATATATAAATAAATAAATAAATAAATGTATATATGTATATATATATATGTCTCACTACGTACCCTCCGAACCCCCGACGTAGAAAAGGTTCGGCCTCCTCCATGCATGCTTCGACAGCGGCCGAATAGTGGCCTCGCAGGCCGGTTGTCTTAGAGTTGAGGGCCAGCTGGTAAGTTTTAAGGTTTGGCATGGAAGGTGTTGAGGCTAGCCTTGGTCCCAAATGCCCTTTGCGTATGCTTTTGGAAAGATATGTGAAGTCTACCAGTGTAAGTATGTATGTAAGTAAGTAAGAAAGTACGTCTGTGAGTAAGTAAGTGTGTTTTGGGTTTGGGGGCTATGCCCCCCTCTACGACGGCAAGGCGAAATCCCTTGGAGCCTAACATCGAACCCCTCCTTGAGGCAGAGCCTCTACGAGGAAGAGCCTCAACTGGCGCGACCGCCTGCCTAGCTAAGCTCTCCTCTCAGGCCCAAAATTCCCAAACCCCAAGCCCTAAGCCCTAAGCTCTAGGGTTTAGGGTTTAGGGTTTAGGGTTTAGGGTTTAGGGTTTAGGGTTTAGGGTTTAGGCTGAACCACGTACTCCGAAACTACCCCAGGACTGCCGCCACTGCGGGGCCGAGGCGACCAGCGTTGTGGGCGTGCCATCGCCGGGGCTTCTCTTGACGAGGTGGGTCAGGAAACCCTCAAAGACTGGGTGTCTCTGGGGTTTAGGTAGGGTTTAGGGTTTAGGGTTTAGGGTTTAGGGTTTAGGGTTTAGGGTTTAGGGTTTAGGGTTTAGGGGTGGTAGGTTGTCAGGGCAAAGCCTGTAAGGCACATGCGCCTTTTGTTTTAAGCAAGCGCGCCACCTTCAACATTTCCATGGGTGTCAGGATTTCGGGTTTCCGGTGTCGGGTTTAGGGTTTAGGGTGTAGGGTGTAGGGTTTAGGGTTTAGGGTTTAGGGTTTAGTTGGGCTGTGAAATCTTTGGCTGGACCTTCAGCTCCCTTTGCGAACCTTCAACCTTCTGGCCCTTCTCTGTTTTGCCCCCTCACACCCTCAGCCCTACCTAAAGCCCCCCAAAGGAGTCTAAGGGCCCTAAAAAAATAGGATAGGGTTAGCGGGGGGTGGGGTTATGATAGGTATAATTAAAAATTCTGTAGGGACCATATAAGGGAACATATAAGGGAACACTACTAGGTTTTATTCCGACCCTATATGTAAAACATGAGACCTTGTGTGGCTTTCCCGCTGTTTGTTTATATACTCCGGGGTTTAGGTAAACAAGATTCCCCAGTGCTGACCACTGTGGTTCATTCAATACGCGCATGCCCCAGTCCCAAAGCTTTTTCGCCCAGGTTCCGCGTACAAAGCCGCGGTTTCCTCAAACACATGGTCCGGCGCATTGTGGGCTTGCTTGTGCAGGCGGCTGTTGGGGGGGCTTTGGGCTTTGGGGGCTTTGGATCAAGGGCTTTTAGGGTTTACGACACTCCAGGAACTCAAGTCTTGAAACTCTGAGCCCTGTGAACTTCCCAGCTCGGGAACCATGCTACACAAGCCTAGAGACTGCAAATCGGAAACCCTAATCCCTGCAGATCAAGCCGACTCAGGCCCTTTGAATACTGAAGTCCCAAGGCCTCAACTCGACAATGGAGCCCCAATTCTCGTTCTTGCTTCTTTTTGAAGGGTTGGTTCCCCCCATAAGCCTGAAAACAAGAAGGGGGTCTAGGAAGAGATACCATGGGAGGGGGCGCATCACAAGAACTTCAGCCCAAAAGACGTCAGGAAGCCAATCGTTCGGAGGACGGCCCGAGCGATTGAACTCTAAACCCTGAACCCTAACCCTAAACCCTCAACCCTAAACCCCATGTCCTAAACCCTTAACCCTAAACCCTAAACCCTGAACCCTGAACCCTGAACCCTAAGGACCCTAAGGACCCTAACTAAACCAAAACAAATCCGGGTTTGCTGATGGCTTGGCGATTTGAAGCTTCGGTCTCGAGAGCTCAGATCCACAGAAACTCTTGGGTATGGGGTTGTCGGTTTAGGGGTCAGGGTTAGTGGGTTTAGGGTTTAGGGTTTCGGGTTTAGGGTTCAGGGAAACTCGTGGGTATGCGGTTGAGGGTTCACTTGGTTCACTAGGTTGCCCTTGGGATGTTTTGCACTTGCCTTTATTGGGCTTTACAGGATCGTATTTTGGGATATATGTTTCTGTTGAGGGACATCCTAGTCCAGGGTTGACGAAGAAAGGACTTAGGGGTCAGGGTTTTTCTGCATGAAGTGCAAGGATACGTTTTGTGCTACTTTGTGGACCTTGCGAGGGTGCTTAGTTAAGGTTGCTCGACCTGAAGGCCCTAAACCCTAAACCCCTGAACCCGGGTGCGGCCGCAGAGCCACCCCACACAAAATCAAAGCCCAAACTCCACTCAATCCGCAGTCGAGCTCGCGAACATCGAAGCCTCAATCGACTTCGGGGCCCAGATGACCCCTAAGAGGGTATTTCCCAACATACTACCTTATGATGGCCCCCAAAAGAATACCCCTGCTTTTCGGAAACCCTCAGATGCCTTAATGGAATCGTCGTAGACCCTGACTCCTAAACCCTAAACCCTGAACCCTACTGCTCTTTGCATGACTCCGCGTCATGGCGCGCGCCTGCAAGCAGCGGAAGCCTGCTTGGACTGGGCTTTTGGCATTGGCATTGGCCCTCCTGGTCTGCACAGGTATCCAGTCAGTGACTCCGCTTGACACAAAAGGTTCCTATAAGTTTTTTGATTCTTAAGCTACGTACCTCAAACCCTAAAAACCTGATCACTTCTTGTGGGTTTAGGGTTTAGGGTTTTGATTTTTAAATTACATCAAACCCTCAAACCTGATCCCTTCTTGTGGGTTTAGGGTTCAGGTTTAGGGTTTAGGGTTTAGGAGTTATAAAGGGCTTAGGGGACATGGGCTTTGCCGCCGAACAATCAAGGCCACCCTGTCTCTGCCTGACGAGCAACTTCCGGACACGGCCGCGAAACTGTTGGAGGCCAGATGCAAGCAGAGGTGGGAAGGAAGTTGGTCCGAAGAGCTTCGCGTTTTTGGTAATTAGGGTTTAGGGTTTAGGGTTAGGGTAGTACCTATAGCTTCGTAAAGCACATCCTGACAAGTCTTCCAGTGGGTGAGGTGGGCGCACCTGAAGGATGACCTTGACTGGACTCGCTACCACCTGCAGGCACCCCAACAGAAAGCCAAAGAAAGCACTGCTGGCCTCAGGAATTTTGGGGGTTTAGGGTTTAGGGTTTAGGGTTTAGGGTTAGGGGGTTTAGGATTTCTGGGTTTGAGGGCTGAGGGCTGGGGGCACAGGATGCAGAGACCTCTTGGTCTCGTCCCACGGTTCAGGCTTCCGTGGGCATGATGGTGAGACCCTTGAACCTAAACCCTAAACCCTAAACCCTTGAACCTTACGGATATTCTCCTAGGTAGGATAAGGGGGGACCCTTTAAAGGGAACCCCTTCTTGGCCCTCTTCTGGCTCTACTTAAACAGGGACCCTATTCAGAGGGTCTATATTTTCAAGGGGTCCCCCTAATCCTGTCCCCTATATTCAGAGCCCTGTGCTCGATCAGGTGGTGTTTCTGGAAGGCGATGGGAGTGGCCGGTCTCGGCTGGCGGCCGGGCTCTTCGAGCGAATCGCGCAGGAACAGCCGCCAAACAGTCATGTGGGGCTTGGTTTAGGGTTTAGGGTTTAGGGATTAGGGTTTAGGGTTTAGGGCGTAGGGTGTAGGGTTTAGGGCGAAACCTGATGGGTATGTATGGGCATAGTATCGTTTCTGGCTCCAGAGCCGGTATCCTTCCTCCTATGCCCCAAGCTTCTTCGCTGCAATCAACAAAGCGTACGCGCAGGAACACAGCTGTGCCGGGGCGCTTCCTGTGGAAGCCGCAACCACAGGTGGTTCCTTAGAGATACTTGGAAGTAGTTGTTTTTGTTGGTAGTTTAATTCCTAAGAAGCAGCTAAAATCAAAACTTTCCTAGAGTTTCAAGTTCAGTAAAGGCTCGGCAGGGTACCTGCCGGAGTCCGCCGCAGAAAACTATCGGCTGGCGCCGCGTTGGACGGCCAGAGATGTGGAGGAGACCTTGGATGGTCCTTGAATGAAAAAAATCGCGCCCTGAACCCCATAAATCCCTAAACCCTAAACCCTAAACCCTAAATTCTAAAACTAAACCCTATATAACCCTAGCTTCAGGGTACAGCGCTCCCAGGCCCCGAGCTGTTCGAGACCCCCTCTAAACCCTGAGGCCGCCATGAAGGTTTGGGGTCTAGGGTTTAGGGTTACTTCGGGTTTAGGGTTTAGGGTTTAGGGTTTAGGGTTTGGGGCGCCTAACTCTTCGCAGTGCACTGCGCAGTCGAGGAGATCGTTAGCCTGGCAGACCTGAGATTCTACGACGTGGTGGTCTGCGTGGATAAGGAGGCGTGAGGGTTTAGGGCCTAGGGTTTGGGGTTTTGGGTTTGGGGTTTAGGGTTTCATTTCTAGGGTTTTGGGCTTAGGGTTTAGGGTTTAGGGTTTAGGGTTTAGGGTTTGGGGTTTAGGGTTTAGGGTGGTCTCAGGGTCTCAGGGCTTCAGGCCGCCCGGTTTCAAGTTCCTGGGTTCCAGGGGCGTTGCAACAGCCCGTAGAAACCCTAAGCCCTTCAAACCCGAAGCCCTAAACCCTAAACCCTAAACCCTAAACCCTAAACCCTAAACCCACAACCACTCAAAAAACCCGAAAACCCTTAAGGGGAGGCGCTGCAGCAGCTGAGGGGGCTGGAAGGGACGCTCCCCGCCTCGGTGGTGGAGCTGGGTGATTTCGGCCCATACCTGGAGCCTTGGAGTTTTCTATAGGGCTTCCAGTTCTAGGGTTTAGGGTTTAGGGTTTAGGGTTTAGGGTTTAGGGTTAGGGGGCTTGGGGTTTAGGGTGCTTCGGGCTTAGGGTAAGCTTCCCCCGAAAAAAAGCGCGAGAGCTGCACCGAAAGCCCTGAGGCTCCAGTTCTCAACCCTTTCCTTTGAAGAGCGCGCCTGCAAGTTAGGGAGCCACCGAGGTTTCGCCCCCATGCAAGGTGGAGGATAGAAACATCGAGACCTCATCACTGGTCTCAGTAGGGTCCCTAAACCCTAAACCCTAAAACCCTAAAACCCTAAAACCCTAAAACCCTAAAACCCCTAAAACCCTAAAACCCTAAAACCCTAAAACCCTAAAACCCTAAAACCCCAAAACCCTAAAACCCTAAAACCCTAAAACCCTAAAACCCTAAAACCCTAAAACCCTAAACCCTAAGAGAGGAAAGATGGCAGGCTCTTTAGGCTCCAAGCTTGCAAGCTCAAACAAGCTCACTGTGGGCGTTTACGAAAATAGGGGACCCCCAATATTCCCTTATAATCAGGGCCCCCCAGAAGGTGCCCCTAAAGCCTAAACACTAAACCCTAAACCCCTAAACCCCTAAACCCCTAAACCCCTAAACCCCTAAACCCCTAAACCCCTAAACCCCTAAACCCCTAAACCCCTAAACCCCTAAACCCCTAAACCCTAAACCCTGAACCCTAAAAACCCTAAACCCTAAAATCCCTAAACCCCAATAAAGGCCCCCTAATTTCGGACACCCCCCCACCCCCCATATTGAATCCTAAACCCTAAACCCTAAACCCTAAACCCAAAACCCTAAACCCTAAACCCTAAACCCTAAACCTGAGGAGCTGCGCCGTCCCGAGTCGCCGATCAAGGCTTGGGTGCCAGATTGGCGCCAGGCCGGGGGAAAGGGGGTTTAGGGTTTAGGGTTTAGGGTTTAGGGTTTAGGGTTTAGGGTTTAGGGTTTAGGGTTTAGGGTTTAGGGTTTAGGGTTTAGGGTTTGGGGCTTCATTTCAAAATTTCACGGGTTTGGCTTCGGGTGTCGGGTTTAGGCTTTCAGGGCTTTAGGTTTACTGGTTTTGCTTAGAGTGTTGTGGCTTGCGACAACGCAGTACTGAAGTAAGACATGTTTTGATGGTAGTAGTATTCTGTATAATCCAAAATGCGTCCTAGACTGGACAAGCAGGAGTTTTCTTGTTGCTCCAGTCTTGCGAAGGCACCTAGGTGATGTTCCTGTTTGGATGGCTTTTGTTGGGTTACCGTCATGCTACTGGGGTGTAATTAGGGCTCGAGGGTTTGGCAGCCCTTTGTCCGTGTTGGATTCGGGATTTTCGGTATAAATGGAGCCACCAAAAAGGTCCATTACCCGTCTGATAGTACGGTCACTGGGCTGCCAAGTATTCCCTAGTTCTGGCTTCAAATAGGGCCGACCTAGTAAAGAGATGGCTAGGAACCTCAGAGCCCTAAACCCTAAACCCTAAACCCTGAGCCCTACACCCTGAGCCCTTTTGGGGCACCAGGTTGAGGGGTGCCTCGATAAAGCCTGGCAGACAGCCTTTTGAACCCCAAGCCCGATTTAAAGCCCATGCAGACCCCTACATTGTCCGACATGAGCCTGATACACTCTACAAGAGCCCGAGAGGCTATAGAAAGCCTAAACACTAAACCCAGAGCCCTAAACCACCTGTAAACCCCCAAAAAAGTGAAAGCAGTAATCCCTGAAACCTGAGCCTAAGACCCCTAAGCCCTCAACCCTAAACCCCTGTCAGGTCATCGACCCAGACTACGACGATCGCCAGGAGGCGGCGGCGCCGCCCAAAGACGACGCCTTGGGTGTTTGGCTCACGGTGCCCGAGGATGGGAAGAGCTAAAGCCGGACACTCCCAGCCCTTACCCGAAGGGTCCATGTACCTATATAGTATATATATATATATATTGCATATTTTTGGGCCTTAAAGGTAGCTTTAGGGCCTAAGTATATACTATATAGGTACATGGACCCTTAGGGTTCGTAAAGAAGCCAACAGAGAACCTGGGTAGGCCTTTTCTTTGTAGTAGCCGTTGTTTGGTTCACGTTAGGAGCAGATTTCCGAGGCTTTTTCAGGGTGAAAGCTCTTCCCGTCTTTGAAATCCCTTGAAATTCAGGACCTGGCTCGCTTAGTGCAACCGCGCTATGAGCTCGTCCGGCGAAGCCTCACTGCCCCTTGGGGACCAAAGGAACCCCGTCAGTTGGGATCATCCACTCACTATGCTACTATAGAATTCCAATTCAGACATATGGAACATAAGGGCCCTAAACCCAAGCCCGAAACCCTAAACCCTAAACGCTGGTTACGCTGGTTACCCTGGTCCACACCGTGGGGTTTCGTCTAAACCCTAAACCCTAGACCCTAAACCCTAAACCCCAACCCCTAGACCCTAAACCCTAAACCCTATAAACCCTATACCCTAAACCCTAAACCCTTCCGGGGTTCACGTAGTTCCCAAGGCCGACGAGGCTCGAGGGGCCGATGGCCTCTTTGGGGGCGACGACGACGCGGCGGTGCTCACGCGCCTTGCCCGCAGATGCTCAACCTTCGACGTCTTGGTTTAGGGTTTAGGGTTTAGGGTTTAGGGTTTAGGGTTTAGGGGTTAGGGGTTAGGGGTCAGGGGTTAGGGTCAGGTCTAGGGTTTACAGGGTCTAAGCTTGAGTATTGTAGGGGGTTTTAGGGTTGCAGGGTTTCTTGTAATCAGAGTCGTCTTCAGCACGCGTTCTATATCATACCCAGCGACATGCATCAAGAACGTGGCTTGGCAAGTTTCAGCTTGCGGACCTCGCGCAGAGCCGAGGTACCATGCAGCCGGCCTGGTGCGCTTCCTTATGGACTCGTCCCTTCGGGACCAAAAAAGCCCTCAGAAGGTTTTGAGGTTTCATACTACACAAACCAGGAATCTCGTAGTATCAGGGTGTATGATACCAACAAGGGCTACAGTATAATATATGTAGTTACATAGGGTAGATGATCCCAAGTTGTGAATTCGTGTGATCCCCGAGGTATCCCTTAGATCTCCAGGGCGGTCCTGGCTACTGCGGCCCGCCGTGACGCTCACGCTGCGCGCGTGGGAAAATTGGAGGGCGCGGTCGTGCTTGAGCCCCGAAATCACCGGAAGCGCCGAAAGCCTGAAAGGCCTAAATCCCTAAACTCCAAACCCTAAACCCCTAAACCCCAAGCCCTAAACCCTAAACGGGTTTAGGGCTTAGGGTTCAGGGTTTAGGGTTAGGGTTCAGTTCCCACAACCCTAAACTAACCCAGACCCGCAGTGCCAAAGTGCCACCTCACGTGGCCGGGGCGGCAAGCTGTGCACGGCCCTTATTTGTTATTTTCCCTTATTGGGTTTTAAGACGATCAGATTAAAAAATGTCCTTCAGAGGGCTTTAAGGAGCCATCCTAGAGTTTCTTCAAGCTCTCCTCTCTCCTCGTTACTCCCCCTTGGTTAGGAGGGGTTTGCCGTTTAGGATTTTCAAGTTTTCGGGTTTAGGGGTTTAGAGATCGAAATCTCCAACTCGCCACGGCACCACCGGAGTAGGGCTTATAGGGTTTCGGGGTTACATATCGGTTCATCATGAGGGCGTGGGTTACGGAGAGTGCTTCGGGGTGAAATAGCGGTTCACAATCAGGGCGTGGGACACACTCCGCTGCACTAAACCCTGAACCCTACCTAAACCCTAAACCCTAAACCCTAAACCCTAAACCCTAAACCCTAAACCCTAAACCCTAAACCCTAAACCCTAAACCCTATAAACCCTAAACCCACTCTCCGCTGCCAGGTGGGCACTGGTGAGGTGCCGCCGTCGCGCGCCGCAGCGCTGTTAGGACCTCATGCTCCCGAGGTGCGCATCCGAACCCAACAAAGGGTTTAGGGTTTAAGGGTTTAAGGGTTTACGGGTTTAAGTAAGGGTTTAAGGGTTTAAGGGTTTAAGGGTTTAAGGGTTTAAGGGTTTAACGGTTTAACGGTTTAACGGTCTAACGGTCTAACGGTTTAGGGTTTCGGGTTTAGGGTTTAGGATTTTGGGGGTTATGATAGTATATTTACAAAGGGGCCGTGACGGAATGCTATTAGGAATTTTTCCGACCCCTTTTGTAACTTGGTAGCCACTTTTTTTGGTTCCGGGTTCCCGTGTAAGGTAAGCAACCCAAAAAAGGGTGCGCTTATTACCGGGCTACCCAGCTGATATAAGGGTAGTTCTCTTAATTAGGATCCCTCCTTGGGTCATTCTTAGAACACGTCACCCTCATCATGAGAAGAACCCCCCTCCCCCCCCCACCCAAAAAAGGCGCCCCAACCTAGAGAACTGCCCATGGTGCAAATAAACATTATACAGAATGATTATAGCAGTACTCAAAATAGACCTAATATTAATGGGATTGTGGTGTGAAGAGACCTCGTAGAACCACTGGGTTTGGGCGTTTGTTTCGGGTTTGGGGTTTGGCCATTCAAGCCTAAGCCACGCGAAGCCCAAGATTTATTACAGGGTTCTTAAGGGAGCAGGGTTCAAGGGGGGGCATGTAAGCCAGGGTTCCCCAAATACTCCCCACCACTCCCTATAAGGCTCCCTGAACTTTCCCGAAGCTACCTAGGTGCCTGCCATGAACCCCCCTCCTTTCAGGACCCTATCAATTTAGGAACAGGGGTGGCTTCGATTTGGGAGCTCGCACGTGTGGGGAATGTAGACGCACAGTAGGGAGTGTAGAAAGCGGCCTAAAATCTGCACAGACTGGGGAGTCCCGTAGCAAGCCTATCCCTCCCCAGTTAACGCTAAAAACCCTAAACCCTAAACACTAAACCTTAAACCCTAAACCTTAAACCTAAACCTTAAACCCTAAACCCTAAACCCTAAACCCTAAACCGCTCACAGCGTCAAGGTCTTGCCTACACTGCGGCCACTCAAAGCCCCGGCGCAGGGGCTGTGGCTGGAGCGGGTCGCCGCTTAAGCCAAGGGTTTAGGGTTTCTAGGGTTTTATGAGGTTTAGGAGTTTAGGGTTTAGGGTCTTTCTAGGGTTTATAGGGTTTATAGGGTTTATAGGGTTTTATAAGGTTTATAGGGTTTATAGGGTTGTATAAGGTTTATAGGGTTTATAGGGTTTCATAAGGGTTTTGGGTTTATGGTCTTTTTAGGGTGTATACGGTTTCGTTTCGGAAGCTTCCGAAATTAGGGTCCGCTTCTTTGGGGTCCCCATGACAACATGGCACGCTTGTGCTGGTTTATGGAAACTGCTTTTGCAGGCTTTCTGATTCTCAAGGGTTCACAGTTCGAGAGACAGGGCTTAAGGGTTTGGAGGTTTTGGACTTGGGGGTTATAGGCTATTGGGGCAGTTTGCTCGTCTGTGTGCGGGAACGAGGGTCGGGGGCCTTCCCATCGGAGTGTCAAGAGCTGTGTGCTGCTGCTGACGTGTATTTCTGGCTGTGTAGGACAAAAGTTCGGGATGTGAGGTTTACGGTTTTTTTCAGATGTGGCGTCGGATTTGTTGACGGTTCTCAGCTCAGCTAATGCCAGGGTCTCAGGCTGCAGAACCGAGCGTGCGTTCGGAGGGCTTGTGGTTTCCAAGAGGTGTTGAAAGGAGTGGCGCGCCCGCAATGCGCAAGTTGAACCCCTAAACCCTATTAGGGTTTAGGGTTTAGGGTTTAGGGTTTAGGGTTTAGTGTTTAGGGTTTAGGGTACCCCCTAGTAGCCCTCAACCCCAAATGCCTGGAGCTCTGCCGCATGGCGCTTCCTTAAGTCTAGCCTAAGGCCCGATACCCTTGAACCAAACCCGCAGCCACGCCAAAAAAATAAAAATAAACATCCCAGACCCCCCAATCCTGCATCCTCTCCTGCGTCCAGGTCCTCTACTAGATCCAATACTGCGTCCCAGATCTTCAGGTTTGGGGCTTAGGGTTTAAAATGCTCTGTATATCGGGGGGTTTTCCCAAAGTAGAGGGAACCCTCAGGCGCTAAGCCCGAGAAAGCCAGACCCAAGGACTTGGAGGACGCAGAGGAGGCAGCCAGCGGGCCTGAAACGGCGCCAAGCGAGCTGGAAGAAAGGAGTCAGCTCCGGGTGTTTCCTAGGTAGGATAAGGGGGGCCCTTCAAAGGGTACCCCTTCTGAATCCTCTTCTGGCTCCCTTAAGCAGGGACCTTCAGAGGGTCTATATCCCCAAGGGTCCCCCTAATCCTATCCCCTAGTGTTGAAGTAGGAGCAGGCGAATCCAGCTTCCTAGAACTAGACCTAGGGGCGCGTCATCTGCGTTTGGGCTTCTAGGTAGGTCAAGAGTCAGCTGAAATGCGTTTTCTGGTCTTCAGGGTTTAGGGTTGTAATCATCATGAGTACTGTTACAGCTACTAGTGTCTCAGAGATCATTCCTGTTTAGAATCTCGCCCTTGTTGTTGCAAATACTGTTATTCGCTTTCGCATGGTTTCAAGGTCTGTCTTCCCAGCAGAACGAAAACGGGACTCTTTTATCCTACCCTAAACCCTAAACCCTAAACCCTAAACCCTAAACCCTAAACCCTAAACCCTAAACCCTAAACCCTAAACCCTAAACCCGAAACCCTAAAACCCAAGGTCGGTGGCACCCACGATGCGCACAGTACCGGAGCCCGATCCCTGAATAGCAAATGCCCTAAACCGCATGGCCTTGTGGGGGGGGGGGGGTTTAGGGTTTAGGGTTTAGGGTTTAGGGTTTAGGGTTTAGGGTTTAGGGTTGAGGGTTTAGGGTTTAGGGTTTAGGGTTTAGGCGGGGGAGGGGGGCACCCAAGGCCTTGGGCCACGAGGTCCCGGGCCCCGGGTACCCGAAACCCTAAATGCCAAGGTCGTGGGGAAGCTTGGATTCATCTGCACGGGAGCCAAGTGGGGTGTTTTGGGGTTTACGGTTCCCTAAAGCGTACGCACTAAACCCTAAACCCTAAACTTGGGAGTATTTTCGTGCCTGAATGCTGGGGGCTTTAGTGATGCTCCGTCCTGGGGCTTGAGGGTGTCAGTTTCAAGTTCATGTGTCAGGCTCAGAGACTTCTGGGCTTGGGGTTGAGGATTCAGGGTTGAGGTTTCCGATCCGGGGTGGAGGTCGCTAAGCATAGGCAGCGGCAGCGGCATAGGCAGCGGCAGCGGCAGCGGCAGCGGCAGCGGCAGCAGCAGCAGCAGCAAAGCAAAAAGTAAGACTTGTTGGTTCGGTCTGCAGTGGGTTGGGCGCTTTGTTATCAGCAAGCAACAGCCAGGGCTAAGGCGGCTAAGGGCTTGCAGTAAGGGTCTTCCGATCTTCGGGCTTCACTGTTCTAAGGTTGTGCGCTTCTAGCGTTTTGCGGTTTTTGGGTTAGGGTTTAGGGTTTAGGGTTTAGGGTTTAGGGTTTAGGGTTCCCCCCCTTCCCCCAAACATCCTGCACGGATCATGGTAAGGCGTTCTCGGCTTCCTCTACGTGCCCGACTACGGTGCGACGGAAGCCACGTGCAGCCACCGGCTGGACTATTGGTTGTTCGGCAACCCGGCTGAGGGTTTGAGGGTTTGAGGCTTTGAGGCTTTGAGGCTTTGAGGCTTTGAAGCTTTGGGGTTTGGGGTTTAGGTTTTAGGGAAGTTTAGGGCTTAGGGTTTAGGGTAACCCTAAACCCTGCACCCTAAGCCCCGATCCGACCGAGACCCGCCCTCGAACCTTAAAGATCCGACCAATCGGAAATGTCATTGCAACATTTTATCAGTAAAACTCGCGTTGTAAGCTGCTACTTCCCGTCAGCGGTTTTGGCTTAGAGGGGATCACCTCAAAATGCTCGAGTCTTCACTACTTGTGGGGAAGGAGGTGGGGTGTCTGAGCATCACAACGTGGAGAGGGGTTTACTGGCTTTAGGGCCTACGGGGGTTTAGAGCTCTTGCAAGCCGCAAGCCCTCGTAGCAAGGCAGACATGCTTGCGGAGGTCCTGGCCGGGGTTAGGTTTTAGGGCTTGGTGCCCACTTGTTCATTCAAAGCATTGCCCCCTGTCAGTGCCACTTCTGCAAATCTGCTCCGCAATCTCAGTCTGTTCCTAAACCGCTTGCCATGTAGTCCACATCCTGGAATGTCACAAGCTGTACATCCTCAGCAGGCTCATATCAAACGTGGGTCTAGAATCATAAAGTAAAGATGCAAGCGGTGCGAGGCAGAATGGGAATCGGTAAAGGAAGTTTGGAAATGACATGTTGCTGAGGGTCTAAAGGTCTAAGACAGGGAAGCAGCAATCAGAACACCACCAAACCGAGTAAGGCACCACGGGCAAGATGAGACGAAATGTGCTTAGGGTTTAAGTTTGGGGGTTTCGGGCTTTAGGGCTATAGGGTTTAGGGTTTAGGGTCTAGGCTTTAGGGCTTTAAAGGGTTTAGGGTTTAGGGTTTGGGGTTTAGGGTTTAGGGCTCCCCGAGCCGCTCCAGGCAACTGGTCCTTTAGCTGCCGGAGACTCAACCGGGCGGTCGGCTCTCAGGGCGATGTTGACTTGAAGTAGGGTTTATGTCACTGTTTTTGGTGAGTGTATACAAGGTTCCTTTTGAATATTGGTGAGTGCATATACTTGGTGACCTTTTGGGGGGGTACAAGAAAATATGTACCCTACTTCATATAACTTAAGGGCCTTTCTGCATGGTATCCTACATCAAAAGGATGATGTATACTGCGCCTGTACTCGAAAGCCCCGCGAAGCCCCTTAGAAAGCCCTCAGCCGTGAACCCTACCCCTAAACCCCAAACCCTACCCCTAAACCCTAAACCCTAAACCCTAAACCCTGAACCCTGAACCCTGAACCCTGAACCCTAAACCCTAAAGTTTCTTCGATCCCTAAACGCCCTGTAGCCCATTTGAAGTGCAGGCAAGCCTCCAATCCCTAACGCAGAAGCCGCGAAACTGAGGGAGGCCCATGTTTAGGGTTTAGGGTTTAGGGTTTAGGGTTTAGGGCTTAGGGTTTAGGGTTTAGGGCTTAGGGTTTAGGGCTTAGGGTTTAGGGTTAAGGGCTTAGGGTTTAGGGTTTAGGGTTTAGGGTTTAGGGTTTAGGGCTTAGGGTTTAGGGTTTAGGGTTTAGGGTGTATGGAAAGCGTTTCGCCCAGACCCCTGAAGCTGCACAGCAACGGAATGATCCTGAATCGCTTGCTGCAGGCTTCTGGCCTTGCGGGGCACAACTTACAGGGCTTGGCTCATAGCTATATCCAGAAAAGGGGGGTAGAGGATCCCAATTTTATGCGCCACTTCCCCAAGCCGTGCCGGGTTCTTGGGGTTTAGGATCCTTTTAGCATCTTTTCTCCAGCATGAAAAACCTCTGCGCCGATTCCCAACTCCGAAAGCCCTGAACCCTGAACCCTCGGCAGCCCCAAACCTTAAGCCCTATCCTAAACTTTAAGCCCTAAACCTTAGGCCCTAAATCCTAAACCCTAAACCCAAAACCCAAAACCCTAAACCCTAAACCCTAAACCCTAAACCCTAAACCCCTCACCTCAACTGCCAAAAAGAAGAGCCGAGGCCTCAAGACCAATTTGCCCCGGGACCTTCGGCTCCGGCTCTTTTCATCCGCGGTTCGCGGGCCGGGTTCCCTACTCCACACTCCCAGCATTTCAGGGGTTGAGGGCGGGGGGGTTGGGGTTGGGGTGTAGGGTTTAGGGTTTAGGGTTTAGGGTTTAGGGTTTAGGGTCTAGGGTTTAGGGTTTGGGGTTTGGGGTTTGGGGTTTAGGGTTTTTTTGCGAAGATGAGGGCTTTAGGGGTGGGTAGCTTTGGGTTGCGGGGACTAGGGGGGGAACCCAGAACCTTCCAGTCGAATCATTTCTCCCGTTGGTTCGGCTCTGCTAGTGTATTTAGGGTTTAGGGCTTAGGGCTAGGTTTTTAGGGTTAGGGTTTAGGGTTTAGGGTGTTTTCCTGCGGATGGAACCAAGCAGGGCGAACTGAACAGCCCAACCGTGGGGTAAGAGGGCCTTGTCAGGCGTATCTCCCTTTTTGCCTAGAGGGCCCTTTCTTGGCTTTTGGGCACATGATCTGCCTTCGAAGAATGGGCCTAGAATTTGGATCCCTTGTTTTATAACCCATTATGTACACCATACATGTTAAGGGGTACCTCCGAATCCCCCTACACAAGGGTAAGGGACCATACTTAGGACCCATGGTTCCGACCTAAGAATCTGAAGCCCTTAGGAAAGGAGTGTGGCCGCCTGGGGAGTTGTTTTATTTCATGGCCCTTAAGCCCCCGAGGCCTAAAGCCCTCCTGTTCCTGTTCCCAGGACCCCGAGTCTCGAGTAGGCCCCTTCTCCACGTTATTTTAGGGCTCAGGTTAAGCATGGTGTGTGTGGGCGAAGAATGGATGTCATTAACTATTGCTGTTTGACTGGTTGAGGGCTGAGTGCTGGTTTCGGGTTGAGGGCTTAGGGTTTATGGTTGAGGCTGCTTGAAAGGTCGGGCTTTGGGTGGGTTGAGGGGTGATGTGGTGTTCTTTTTTAGCTTAGGGTCCTAGGGCCCCGTGCAGCTTGTTCATGAGCTCATATTCACAACTCCCGCGTTCTTTTTCAAGTTCCTTGCTTAAGGAAGGCTTGTGCCCACAAGGGGCCCTACCACTGAACAGCCCCAGCTTCACTTGGCTATTGCCTGGTAACCACACAAGCAGAGCGGATGACAACCCAGGGACCGGCTCCTGGAGGCCAAAAAGGTTGTTTCGGGTTGGGGTTTATCGGGCTTCTCTTTTAGCATCAAGGGTTCGAGGTGTGAGTTTTCTGCTAGAGGTTTCGGGTTGGGTGTTGGGACGGGTGCCGCGCGGCTTCAGGCCCTTTCTCATCTCCGGCTTGCTGGGCATCTGGAAAACAACGTTCCTGCCGAGACTCATCGGCACTCATACCCTAAATCCTACCCTATTCTAGGGTATAGTATTCCCTAAACCCTATACCCGAAATCCTAAACCACTCATCCACCGAGGTTTCCTAAACCCGACGCTGCGCAGTACAAACTTAGTCTAGCCCTTTTACCTGTTGGCCCGATGCCTAGAATCCTAACCCCTAAACCCTAAAACCCTAACACAGCGTTTCTTATGAGCACCCGAAGCCCTTGGCACCCACAAACTCAAACCCAACAAACGATAGGAGTTGATGGGAATAAGTAGAAAGCAACTTGAAACAACACACGACACGAAACCCTAAGCCCCAAGCAACTTGAAACAACACATGACACGAAAACCTAAACCCTAAACCCTACACCCCAAAACCCTAAACCCTGCACCCTACACCCCAAACCCCAAACCCGAAACCCTAAACCCTAATCCCTGAACCTAAACCCTAAACCCTAAACCCTAAACCCTAAACCCTAAACCCTAAACCCTAAACCCTAAACCCTAAACCCTAAACCCTAAACCCTAAACCCTAAACCCTAAACCCTAAACCCTAAACAAACAATTCACCTCCCGAGGATCCTCGTGGAGCGACTCCGCGACCTCGAGAGCCGCGCCGCCGGCGCTTGCCAGTGCCTCGTGAGGCCTCTCAGGGGCGTTTTTGGGGCAGGCTGTGGGGTTTAGGGTTTAGGGTTTAGGGTTTAGGGTTTAGGGTTTAGGGTTTAGGGTTTAGGGTTTAGGGTTTAGGGTTTAGGGTTTAGGGTTTAGGGTTTAGGGTTTAGGGTTTGGGGGATGAGGCCTTTGCCGGCGTTACGGGCGCAGGGTTCAGGGTCTAAGGCTGTAAGGCGTAGCTGGCTGGCTTCTAGGGTTTAGGGTTTAGGGTTTGGGGTTTAGGGTTTATGGTTTAGGGTTTAGGGTTTCTGACGTAGTTGAGCTGAGTATTCAGTGACCGACATCAGCTAGGTGATAGCGTTCCATGAAATCCCGAAGATTTTTCTCCTGAACATGGACAAGTGCAGCAGGCATGGTGTCCGGAGCTTAAGGCATATTGGGTCGTTCTCTAAGTTAGGTTCCCTTCTTGGCCTCAAAAAAATGGCCCCTCAAGTACTAATTCTAAACGGACCCCCCGAACCCCAATGAAGAGAACCCAGATCCAGGGTTCAGGGGCTACGGGGATGGAGGTAAACCCTAAACCCTAAACCCTAAACCCTAAACCCTAAACCCCAGGGTTCAATTCTATGGGGGTTCACTGTTTCAGGTTTCTGCAGTATGGCTGAGTGGTCACAAGTTGTGGATAGTGTGGTTGTGTAGCCACCAGAAACTAGAAACCCAAAGCCAGTGTAGGTCTGGGGCTTGAGAGCTTGAAGGTTAAGGGTGGAAGGCCCCTAAACCCTAAACCCTAAACCCTAAAGCGTAAACCCTAAACCCTAAACCCTAAACCGGCTTCTGGTCATCAGTGGCCAAGGGCTAATATTTCACGAGGGCTAGGTTGAGGGCAAGAGAGATCATCCTGCTGCTCACTTTCGTCACCGAACAAGTGTGCATCCGAGCGGCTGAGTTTAGGGTTTAGGGTTTAGGGTTTAGGGTTGAGGGGTTGCCTCTGTACCAGTCACGTGTTTCAGGATTTCTGGCATGTGCAGAGCGAAAGGCAACAGCACCCAAACTGAGACCTGACCCATGAATGGACTCCCTAAACGTAAGGTTCTGTGAACTACAGCCTGTTTCACGTAACCAAGCATGGTAGCCCAGTGGTAGACTTTTCAAATTTTGTTGGTTCAAGGTTCCCTTATAAAGTAACCAACCCGCAAAAAGGATGCCCTTATTAGAATATGGTTACCGGGCTACCAAGCAAGACAGATCGTACCTGATGTGGGCCATGTCGATTTTGCGTCCAAGCTGCAGTGCAGCAGTAAGGCACCAGGTGAGGTTGGAGATGCTACTGGGCTTGGTGCCCACCTTATGCACGCTGTCTGTTTTTGCTGCGGCATGTGCTGGCGAGCTAGACAATTCCAACTACACGGCCGTGCTGCTGCTCCATGCGGTTTTGCTGCTTTTCCTGATTGGCCTCGGCCTGTGGATGAAACTACAGAATACACTGCATTCGATCACCCACTATCTGGAAGACGCCCAGCGCAGCAACGATTTGTTGGTGGCGTGCTCGTGGGCACCTCTGCTGTTGTATTTGCTGCCGATGCTGATTTGGGGGGATGCTCCCGGGATTTCGGACACGTTTATGACGGTCATCGGCTACTTTCTGCTGTACGTGCCCGTCCTGGATAGCCCATGCTATACACTTGCCTGCTACACGGCCTACTCCTGTCTAGCTGCCATCAGCGTCTTGGGTGCACGCGAGCTTGCGGACTCTACAAGCCAGCTTACAAGCCCGATGAGCTACGAACTCGATAGACCCTACAAATCCTACGCCCTATGAACCCCAGAAGCACTACACATCCTATGAACCCTACAAATCCTATGAACCCTATAAACCCTGTGAAGCCAGGAATCCTTCACCTGAAGACGGATCAAGGCATCCCTGTATCGGACTTCTGCGTCCGCACGGTCATCATTGGTGTTTTTGGAAAGGCTTGCGGGCTTAGGGTGGGGAGGAGGTATAGGGTTTTGCTTTAGGGATACATGTGAGGGGAGGGAACAGTAGGCATAAGGACCCACTTAAGCCCCGAAAGCCCCAAACCCTGAACCCTCAATGTGCGGCACCCAAAGACCCGTAAGAAGGTGGTGCTGCGGCTCAGACTCTGGCACCTCAGCAAGGAACGAACGCCTCTCACACCAATGGCCTTGAAGACTCTCGACGCCCATTGGGGGATGCTTGTAGGTTCAGGTTGTGGCTACGAGACAGAACCCTTAAACGCCCTACGGACTGTAAACTCTACAAGCCCTACACAAGCCCCATGCTCCCCCCAAACTCCCTGAGCCCGCAACGTTGAACCCTTATGTGGGCATTTCTCAACATAGGGGATCCCCGTTTATGCCCCAGATCCCTTAAAGGGACGGCCCCAAAAGGGTACCCCTATTTTCGTAAACCCCATGTGGGTAGTTCTCTAAATAGGGTCCCCTTTTTGGGGTACCCATTATAAGGCGGCACCCATTTAAAAAAAACCCTAAACCCTAAACCCTAAACCCTAAACCCTAAACCCTAAACCCTAAACCCTAAACCCTAAACCCTAAACCCTAAACCCTAAACCCTAAACCCTAAACCCTAAACCCTAAACCCTAAACCCTCCCCAAAAAGGTACACTAATTTAGAGGACTGCCCATGTCATGCCCTAATAGCTCCAAACTGAAGGATGGCCAGCGCTGCAAATGAGTCCGGCGTGCCGACTCCTGCTGAGCCTTACAACCCTTTGCGTAGCAGGCTCCTGGGTGGTTTGGGGCCGCTAGGGTTTAGGGTTTAGGGTTTAGGGTTTAGGGTTTAGGGTTTAGGGTTTAGGGTTTAGGGTTTAGGGTTTGGGGCCTATACATGTACATGCTGATACGGTTCCTTTCAGGGGTTCACACCTTCGACTGCTCAGCAGGCTGCGGCTGCGGCGCCATCCCTTCGCCACCACCGGCTTCTCTCCGGTTGACTCGATTGACCGGGTGGGTGCCGCGCGGGGTCATGACGCAGCCAGGATTGGCTCCTCCATTCAGAGGCCCCTGGCCTCGACACCCTAAACCCTAAACCCTAAAACCCTAAAACCCTAAACCCTAAACCCTAAACCCTAAAACCCAAAACCCTAAAACCCTAAACCCTAAACCCTAAACCCTAAACCCTAAACCCTAGACCCTAGACCCTAGACCCTAAACCCTAACTGGCGAGGGAAGACCCGGCGTGCATGTCGTCGGATGTCCCATCAACATAAACCCCGTAAGCCCTGAACCCCGAAATCTTTCGCCCACGGCCAAGCAGATAACAATTTAATATTGGGGGGTCGGAATAATTTCTAATAGTATTCCCTTATGATCACTTTATAAATGTACTATAATACTCCCCCCCCTCCCCCCCCCCCCCCCCCCCCCCCCCCAACAAAAAACACAATTCCAACTGTTGAGGCCCCTACAGTAGGCAGATGTAGGCAGGGTGTGGACCGGTGTGGAGGTTCAGGTGTTTGTTTGCCGTGAGGCGGCAAGGGGCTGTAGGTCTTGGGGCGTTTTGAGGACCACAACAGCAACAGCCACAACAGCAACACTAACAGCAGCAACTGCAGCGCCGCAGCCGCAGCAGCAGCAGCAGCAGCAGCCGCAGCCGCAGCAGCCGCAGCAGCCGCAGCAGCCGCAGCAGCCGCAGCAGCCGCAGCAGCCGCAGCAGCCGCCGCAGCAGCAGCAGCAGCAGCAGCAGCAGCAGCATCAGAAACAATTGCCAGAATAGCAGCAGCAATCACAGCAAGTATAACAACAACAGCGCCAAAAGCAGCACCAGCAAAGACATCACAAAACACAGCAACACCAGCAATACCAGCTACAACTGCAACACCGGCTACAACAGCTGCAAACTCTTAATTTTTAATGCAAGCACAACTACACATACACATCACATACACATGCAATGATAAATCAGTACAAAGACAAATGACAAGTTCAAAGACAAATGCAAATATCAAACTCCACTTCACCAACCAATGCAGCAGCTACTTCAACAAATGCAGCAACCACTACTACTGGGTAGCCCAGTGGTACCCTTTACCCCTTTTTGTTTGGTTATGGGTTCCCCTATAAAGTAACCAACCCAAAAGAGGGTGCCCAGATTATAAGATGGTTACTGGGCTACCAAGCCTACCGCGATGTGTCAACAACCCAAGCAGAAGGTCTCTCTGCCGGTGTTAGGGTGTTAGGGTGTTAGGGTGTTAGGGTGTTAGGGTGTTAGGGTTTAGGGTTTAGGGTTTAGGGTTTAGGGTTTAGGGGCAGGTCGGACGGTTCGACGGATTCTTACTAGGGTTTGTCAAGAAATCCCTTGCACATGTTGTATATTTACTTGGAGACCCTGAACTCTAAACCCTAAACCCTAAACCCCTGAAGGGCAGTATGAGTGGCAACCTGAGGCGCAGACAGCAAGACAAGGCAATGATGGTCGGTCAGTTCCCTGGATTCCCATATCCTCGGAGATAGTACCCTAGATCCTGAACCTAAACCCTAAACCCTAAACCCTAAACCCTAAACCCTAAACCCTAAACCCAGCTCTTTCAACCCCAAACTTTCCACCTTGAGCTCTGAATCCTGGACAGCCCGGAGGCCAAATAGATCAAGCCCCTAATCCCCTAAACCCTCAAACCCCTAAGGGCCCCAAGCTCCTAGCCCTAAACCCTAAACCCTAAACCCTAAACCCTAAACCCTAAACCCTAAACCCTAAACCCTAAACCCTAAACCCTAAACCCTAGTTAAACCCTAAACCCTAAACCCTAAACCCCAGGTTTCTTTGGGCCGTGCATGTGTTTCGAAAGAAGTGGCTTGGCACCGATGCACTCTGCCACATCCTTTCCTACCTGGATGCTACGAGGCGGCGAGGGGTCCGGGATCCCGAGGGAGCCGACCTGCTGTTGTTCCGGACAGGGTTTAGAATTTGCTTCGCCGCTGATGCTGGGACTTTGTGGGTTTAGGGTTTAGGGTTTAGGGAAGTTTAGGGTTTAGGGTTTAGGGTTGAAGATTTGGGATTTAGGGTTTAGGGTTTAGGGTCTGGATGCTCGGCGGTACCGACTCTCTGTGGGCCTCTTTGGGGGGTGGGCACTCCAGGATACGCGGCGAAACTCCGCGGGCTTCTCGGCACACACACACACACACACACACACTCTCACACACGCACGCGCACGCACGCACGGACGCACGGACGCACGGACGCACGCACGCACGCACGGCACGCACGGCACGCACCGCACGCACCGCACGCACCGCACGCACCGCACGCACCGCACGCACCGCACGCACCGCACGCACCGCACGCAACACACACACACACACATGCTTGAGCACACACACACACACAGAGCAGGTCCGTCAGCAACTTCGTGGGGTTGTTGGATGACGATGGCGCATCACAAGTGTCTTCCCGACAGGACCAGGAGACTTGGCTGCCCAGGGTACGGGATCCTTTAGTTACTGTAGGGCTTCGGTTTCTAAACCCTAAACCCTAAACCCTAAACCCTAAACCCTAAACCCTAAACCCCAAGGAGAGCAGCACTCACGCCACTTCGTCGCTGACGTCGGTCACCTGCATGCAGCGAGAGCTGCAGAAGCGGCTCCAGCGGATGCTGCAACCGCACCTTGCGTTCCGGACGAACCCTGGGTGGCCCAGTGGAATCCTTTTTGGGGTTTAGGGTTTAGGGTTGAGGGTTTAGGGTTGCTTTTGGGTTGCTTTTGGGTTGCTATACACTTAAAGTAGCCACCACCAAAAAGGGTGGCTTCACCAAGGCTCAGCGAGACTTCGGGGCAGATCACCCAAGTGAAAGAGGAAGACGAGGCGCCGGTCGTGGTAGGGTTTAGGGTTTAGGGTTTAGGGTTTAGGGTTTAGGGTTTGGGGTTTAGGGTTTAGGGCTTAGGGTTTAGGGTTTAGGGTTTCGGGATTGCGTCTCGAACATAGCCTTTTCTCTGCGGAACGCTTAAGGCTTGGGGCTTAGGGCTGAGTGCTTCGGGCTTAGGGCTTATAGGGCTTATAGGGCTTATAGGGCTTCTAGGGCTGAAAGGGCTTATAGGGCTTATAGGGCTAAGGGGCTAAGGGGCTAAGGGCTACGGGCTAAGGGGCATAGGGCAGCATGTGCAGGCCGCAGACGCTCGACGAGAACTGAGGAGCATCCTCCGAGGGTTCTTCCAAGTCTCGGTTTAAAGGTTTAGGGTTTAGGGTTGAGGGTTTAGGGGTTTAGGGGTTTAGGGGTTTAGGGGTTTAGGGTTTCGGGAGTCTCACTCTCAAGTGGTTCTTAGTATGTAAGAACCAGTAAGTCTCACTGTTGGTTAGCAGGGAAGGAGGGAGTCAGTGCCCCCCTATAACCGACCCTTTCAGGGATCATATAGGGCACCTCATTCCCTCATTCCCTACTCACAAGCAGTAGGATCCCTCATTCCCTACTCACAAACAGTAGGATCCCTCATTCCCTGCTCACAAACAGTAGGAAGTTTCACAGTTGCCCGGGGAACAGCCGGGTGCCTGTTGTCCATCCCGCGTGGCATCCTCTTAGTTTGGGCAGGAGGCCTGCTCTAGGCCCAGCTTCGCAAATGCGCGAGAGCGCCTGCTGCCGGGTTTAGGGTTTGGGGTTTAGGGTTTAGGGTTTAGGGGTTTGGGGTTTAGGGTTTAGGGTTTGGGGTTTGGGGTTTAGGGTTTTGGGGTTTGGGATTTAGGGTTTGGGGTTTAGGACCCGAGAATCCGGGGTGGTTTTTGTTTCAGAGACGCTCCGCTGCTTCGGGTTGGTAACCCAGCTGTGTTCCTCGAGGTTGATGGAGTTCCATTTTGGCAATTCCTATGCTGGGAGATTTCGACAATGAGGGGTGGGGAGGAGGGGGAGAGGGGAGGAGGGGAGGAGGGGAGGAGGGGAGGAGGGGAGGAGGGGAGGAGGGGAGGAGGGGAGGAGGGGAGGAGGGGGGAGGGGAGGAGGGGGGAGGGGAGGAGGGAGGAGGGGGGAGAGGGAGGAGGGGAGGAGGGGGGAGGGGAGGAGGGAGGAGGGGGGGGGAGGAGGGAGGGGAGGAGGGGAGGAGGGGAGGAGGGGAGGAGGGGAGGAGGGGAGGGGAGCAGTGGGGTGGGGGACAGGGGAGGGGGGCAAGGGGGCTCCTTTTCAGCCTGGTGGGTTTTCCAGTAGGCCTCCCACAACCCAGCCCAGAACCGTCCCCTTGGGGCTTTATGGGGGTTCCGACACCCTAAACCCTAAACCCCCCAAATCATCCCTATTCAGGACTGTCAGGATAAGGGAGAACATCCCAACCTTGAAGCCTAAACCCTGCACCCGCAGCCCGATGAAAGCCACAAGGGCCCAAAGTCCCCCGCCTCGGGCTTTCCAACCCTAAACCAGCCCCAAGCCATGAACCCTAAACCCCAAACCCTGAACCCCAAACCCTAAACCCTAAACCCCAAAACCCCAAAACCCAAACCCTAAACCCCAAACCCTAAACCCTAAACCCTAAACCCCAAACCCCAAACCCTAAACCCCGAACCCCAAAACCCCAAACCCTCAATCCAAAACCCTGAGCTCTGAATCATTGTACCCTGTGACAGGGCCGCCATCCTTCTCCTCCGGTCGCTTGGATTGGTACTTCGGGCTTGGCTTCAGGGTTTCGGGTTTAGGGTTTGGGGTTTGGGGTTTGGGGTTTAGGGTTGGGTTTAGGGTTTAGGGTTTAGGGTTAGGGTTGGGGTTTAGGGGGCTTAGGGGCTTAGGGGTTCAGGGCTCAAAGGGCTTAGGGCGTTGCTCTCCAAGACGCCTGGTGCTGCACTTAACTACTCCTCCTGTTTTTTCTCCGGATATCAGTTAAAGCAAACGAATAAGAAGCCCAAAACGGCACAAATAAGAACTATACTAAACCCTAAACACCCTGCTAGGATCAAGCCCGAGGTTGATGATGCTTCTTCTGTACTGCGACTGGAAAGCCCGAGGCGGAGACTTTGCCTAAACCCTAAACCCTAAGCCCTAAACCCTAAACCCTAAACCCTAAACTCTAACATAGTCGCCACGAGATCGCAGACTCGCATAACTCCATAAGCACTGCGAAGTGGTCGCGGTCTCAGAAGCAGCGCGCTTTGACACAGATTTAGGGTTTAGGATTTAGGATTTAGGGTTTCGGATTTAGGGTTTAGGGTTGAAGAATTTAGGATTTAGGGCTTACGATTTAGGTTTTATGGTTTAGGGTTTATAGGATTTAGGGTTGAGGGCTAAGGGTGGAGAACCTGAAGCCACATCGGGGATTTAAAATCTGAGGGAAAAAGAAGCCAACAGCTGATTGCTCGGTTCATCTTCCCTAAGCCCTGAACCCGAAACCCCTACCTGTATATATATATATATATATATCAGTATATATATATATATAAACCGTATATCGTCCCTATCTACCTACTAGGTAGGCCCCTGGAACATGTTACATATCCTAGCCTATGCTGCCCCTACTTCCCCCTGAACCCTAAACCCTAAAGCCCAAACCCTAAACCGTAAGCCTTAAAACCCCAAACCCCAAGCCCTAAACCCTAAACCCTGAACCCTGATCCCTGAACACTGAACCCTCAACCCCAAACCCCAAACCCCAAACCCCAAACCCTAAACCCGAAACCCTAAACCCTAAACCCTAAACCGCCCCATAAGAGTCCCACACCTTTAGCTCCCATGCCAGGGGTCGGCGAAGCCGGGACTCTTTGCGGACGCCCCGCGGCCCTCGTGGATCCGGCGGAGCCGTGGCAAGGCACGTCATCTTGGGACGTTCCCCTTGTACTAACAGCTCCTTACAATGGGGATTCTAGGGGGTTTAGGGTTTAGGGAAGGGTTTAGGGTTTAGGGTTTAGGGTTTAGGGTTTAGGGTTTAGGGTTTAGGGTTTAGGGTTTAGGGTTTAGGGTTTAGGGTTTAGGGTTTAGGGTTTAGGGTTTAGGGTTTAGGGTTTAGGGTTTAGGGTTTAGGGCTACTTCTATACTTACAGCTCCTTAATAGGGATTCTGCTAGGGGGTATAAGGTGGAACATCCCAAGCTACCATCTTCGATCTGGCGATTTGGAGGGATTTGGGGATGTTGGGAGATCCCCCGAACCCTAAACCCTAAACCCAAAACCCTAAACCCTAAACCCCAAACCCTAAACCCTAAATCCGAAATCTCTCTTTTTGTGGGGTGTGGGGATCCCAAGAACCCTAAACAAACCAGTCCCCAAAACGTATGTCCGAAATCCCTTCTTTGGTTTTTTTTTGTGGGGTGTCGGTCGGAGTTTTTGGATCCTGGAGCTTAGGAGTTTTTGGGGTTTAGTAAAGAACGTCAAGGGCTGAGATCCTCGGAACCCCCCAAAAAGCCTCCGTAACTCCGTAATCCATCATCCCATACACTTCATCCCCTTGTGTGCCTTAGTTTCGCAACCCTCCCAACACCCTAAAAACTCTTCACCCAATCCCTAATCCCCAATCCCTACACCCTAAGCCCCAAAGCCTAAACCCGAACCCTAAACCCTCAACCCTAAACCCTAAACCGTAACCTATGCAGTCAGCACGGCCAGGAGCTTTGAAGCAGGGGAGGAGGCGGCCTTTCGACCCATTCGAGGACGACGCATGTGTCGAGAGTACTGTCCTAGTTGATGTTCAGGGTTTAGGGTTTAGGGTTTAGGGTTTAGGGTTCAGGGTACGTAGTAGCCAATTACATAGCCTACTTGTAATATTAAGCCCCCCTTAAGTGCCCTAATATTGGGTATAAGTTGGTTTATAAAGTACCATGGAACCTCCAAGTGTTCCTACACTTTTCGGATGTCTTAGATATATATATATATATATATATATATATATATATATGCCCTTGTTGGTTTAAAGAGGATGATAGATAAGGAAGACTTTGCAGAGGGTTTCAAAGGCCGCCCTAGCTGCTGCATTCCTGTTGTTCCTTGTCTTGGGGGGGTGCCCTTGCCCTAAATGGACTTGGTAGGGGTGGACTTCAATTCACTTCTGTGCCACTTGAGCGGCTCAAGAGCAGTTCGGGATTCAGGGTCTTTCTTTCTCTCCCTCTCTCTCTCTCTCTGTCTCTCTCTTTCCCCTTCTTTGTGCCATTCTTCTGCGGCCAGATATGCTGGGGAGTGGCTTCTTGACGGCCGGGGTTCTTGTGCTCAAGGAAGCCCTCGAGCCTAGAAGCCCCCAACATCGAGCGCCGTTGCTTCCCCAGAACCTTTTGAGCGCAGTCGCCACCTCAATGCCCAGGCTCCTAATCTTGCTGTTGGTTTGTAGGGAATGAGGGAATTAGGGCCATCTGTATATATATATATATATATGTGTGTATACCTTTTAAGAGATTATGCAAAGCACCTCCCTGCTAACCAATCGTAAGTGAAGACCGCAAGGAGTATGTGGAGTTGCTCCTTCACTTCCTCTGGGTCTCCTGCTTCATGGTCGTGTGGCCGTTCCGGGTCAGCACAAGGCTTTTTTTTGTTACACAATTTGTCGGGGGGGTGGGGGGGGGGGGCCAGGGGGTAGCCGCGAATTCCTCAACCCGAAAACCCTCAGCACGAAGCTCCAAAACTCTAAGCCCTAAACCCTAAACCCTAAACCCTAAACCCTAAACCCTAAACCCTAAACCCTAAGCCCTAAACCCTAAACCCTAAACCCTAAACCCTAAACCCTAAACCCTAAACCCTAAACCCTAAACCCTAAACCCTAAACCCAAATCCTTGGGCTCGGAGCTTGAGGGTTCCAGCCTTGTGGAGCTGTGCTCCAGCTCACAGATTCGCCAAAGTGGAAACATTGGAGCTTGGCGCTTACGCAACCCGTTCAGTCTTAAACGCTCAAAAGCCCTTAAAACCCTAAAGCTCTTGCATTTCGGATGTGGGGGTGGGTAGGGGGGGCTTGCTGAATGGGGTTTTAGGCCTTAGGGTCTATAGGGTTTAGGTCTCTGGGCATGATAGGCTTTAGGGCCCATAGCTTGAATGTTACTAGGGTTGCTTTTGGGTAGCGTAGGCACTTAGAGGCCCTAAACCCTACAAAGCCACCAGTAAACATACGGTCAGATCTCGATCTAACCCTCCTACAAAACACTGCAAAGAACCGTCAAGCCCCATTCTAAATAGACATGATTAACAAAACAGCCAAACAATCGCCAAAAGGCATGCTATGTTGAACATCGCCGCACTGGACAATTGCGTCCACATCAGCCTACGGGCTTACAAAGTAATTA